AGGCAGGCAATCTGTCGTCCTTCCCCGGGAGTCTCTGACCAGAAGGAACAGGGGATGGGAGGAGAGCATGGTACCCTTATGCTGCGATACAGAGATGCTATTCCAAGGGTCACGAGAGCTGGTCCCCTACAGCTACTGGTAAGCAAAAAGCTTCTGGCACCTGTGCAGGGGATGAAACCCTTCCCACACGCACCCCTACCTACCTACCTACCTACCTCTAACTGGAAATGGACATGAGGAACACATCTCGATGCACACCTGTTACAGAGCAGGTACCTGTCAGGGGATTAAACCCTTCCCAGACGCACCCCTACCTACCTACCTCTAACTGGAAAGGACATGAGGAACACATCTCGATGCACACCTTAGTTACAGAGCAGGTACCTGTCTTTTCCACCATCTAAGCACCTCTGTAGCTAGATGTAAATAGACTCCAAAGACTTGCTGTTGTCCACAGTCACCTCTAGCTCCATCCAGCCAGAATAAAAAACAGAGGGAGTGCTTCCCCTCCCCCACATGCAGTGTTTTAGAAATGCTGGGGTAGGCCCTGGGCCCCAAGCATAAACTGGAGCAGAGGAGGTTAGCGAGTCATTTTTCCATCCACTAGTCCTAAATATTCAAACGAAATGTACAATCTTTCCTGTTAAGGGGATTGTTAACTTAAAAAAAATGCCCTAGGAGCTAACTTTCTGGTGTAAATACATTTTAAAATGGGGCTTTAATATGCAGAATACTATAAAATGTTTTCTAATCTATAAAGCTCATGACAGCATCCACCCATGCTCTTGTGGGCTGGAGGCAATATGCTTTACTAGCTGTACAACTGATATTTGTTGAGGGTTAGCACGTGGTCTAAGGGGCTCAGATATTTTCACTCCTGCCACCTCTTACCTTGCAGGGAACTTCAGCAAGCACAGTCAGCATGTGATTGGGTGTATAAGTACAATCACATGCTCCCTGCCTGAAAACATTAATCGGCTTCAGAATAGTCTGGCTTTGATATCATGGTGTATAACGTTCCTGGAAGAAATGCTTCTCCCACAAAGCAAGAGAATGGGAAGGACGGAGGTATGTTTTTGGGGTATCAGGAGTAAGAGCAACCTTATGGGTGGTGGTGTAGCAGGAACACAATATGAGAAGCTTGAAAACAAAGATGAAGGTGGAGAGAGCAAACTGGTCCTGGAATTTGAAGTTGAGAGAAATCTGGAGTGGCACAAAACTGGCCAGTTTGCATATGAAAGTGTTCTCAGTTCTTACGTAGTAGGTGAGCGTTCTGCGGAGGCGCTGCCTGTGGTGTGTGCGTGCACTGCCCCTAACCAGACACTGGGTCAAGAGAGGGACTCCAAGGCATGGTACAATACGCATACATAAAGTTGTGTGTGTAATCCCTATTCAGTAACAAAGATGGCATCAAATCCACTTGTCCTGCACGCTGTAGGTGGGGGAGGTCATTCCTATTTATGCGACCAACATCTGCTGCGGGAGTGTGGGGGTCAGCGTATTCCCCCCCCCCGTACCTTGTTGTCCGTCGTAGGTCTTTCACTAATCACGCTACTTCAGTCCCGCCACAAAGCATAGGATGTACCAGAGACCTGGCTTGTGGGAGCAGGGGGGGGCGGGCCCACCCTCGCTCCCCAACCCCAGCCCAGGGCCCTGAGGACAGGTTCGCGGGGACCTGTCCAACCGGTGGGGCAAGCGCCCGAAACTCACCAGTTCACTGGCTCCACACCCCGCCCTGGGCTACTTCCTACCCCCTTTACCTTCCTTCCATACTCCGGTCTCCCTGTGACCACTGACCCTAGCTCAGCCTTCCCAGGCGTGCCCTCTCCCCATCCCTGCGGCCACACTTGCGGGCTCTCACAGTCTCTCTCCTCCCTTCTCTGTCTCCGCTGCCACTCCGATGCCTCCCAGCCTCCGATGCCTCTCCTCCCTGCTCCAGGTTTAAATGTCCTATGCTGGCGTCCGGAGCACATGACGTCAGTCGCGCGCACGCCACGTGCTCCGTCGCCCCTGTCTGCTGCCCGCGTGCCAGCTGATGCCCTGCACCCGCCGCTTAGCTGAGCGGCGGCGGCAGTGCAAGGACCGCACGCCAATTGTGCCCCGGGCTGCCCCCATGAGCGAGAGGGCAACCGTGGGATCAGTGTGGGGCAGGTCCGCTTCTGTAGGGTGGAAGCGGCTCGCCCCATCACATGGGGAGAGACAAGCTTTTGAACCACAGAAAATCTAAAGACAAGCTCCGTGTAAGCTTGAACATTTTTGTCTTTCACCACCAGCAGCTGGTCCAATCCCTCACCTCCCTTTTCTCTCTTAGCCAAGTCCACCCCAGCTGCTCCAGTATTTACTGTTCTTCTACCTCTTCCTTGGCCTGCAGATGGTGCTATTTGCACATGGCTCTTTCCAATGGAAAGTCAGATTTGGATCAGGGCCTGACACGGGTGAGGGTGTGCTCTGAT